AGGAAGGAAGGAAGGAAGGAAGGAAGGAAGGAAGTATGATGGATGGATAGATAGAAGGAAATATAGATGGATGAATGGAAGGATGGATGATGGATAGATAGAAGGAAATATAGATGGATGGATGGATGGATGTCAGGAAAGATGGATGGATGGAAGGAAGAAAGGAAGGAAGGAAGGAAGGAAGGAAGGAAGGAAGGAAGGAAGGAAGGATGGAAGGAAGGAAGGATGATGGATGGATGAAGAAGGAAGATGTTACTTGTTGCAGTTAACTCTTTGAACAGATGAAGTGATGTGAGCGAACTCACAGTGGACTGTTGTCAAGTTCAATCAGAACATTTTCTTTCATGCAAACAGTATTTTAAAGTCGTTGCACATGCATCAGTTTTTTATTTTATTTTTTTTTAGCAAGAACAATTTATAAATGCTTTGATGTTATAGATGTTTTAAGATTATTGCAGTCCACTTTGGTCTTGGCCCAGATCAAACCGTTGGTTCAGTCCAGCAGAACTCAACTTTATTTCTCCAAACAGATGATTCATTGCGTTATCTCCAACAGGTATTTGATCATTTTGTCAACGTGCACAAAGATTTCTCAGACATTTTGGGCCAATTAATAATTTTTGTCTCAATGTATGTTTTAGAATTTAAATTTATTTCAGACGAGTGAGATTTGAGATGTGGGGTCTGGACCATTCAGGCACTGCAGGGGTGAAGTTATCTGTCGTCTGATTGGTCGGTTTGTTTTACATTTACTCATCACTCATTAGCAAAGGTTTGGGAGCTGTTATTCTGCAAACAGTTATTTTAAAGCATTTTTGACTCTACTAATGCTTTTCTTTTTTTCTTTTAATTTAAAGAAACACATTTTATATTTTGGAAACGCGCACAAACTTGAATCTTCAAGTTGACTCTTTTTCATTAGGTGACAAAACTTGATTTACAAACTTTTAAACTCTGGAATCGTTTACCAACATGAGTTTACAAGCTCCAAATCCTGCTGACTCTTACCTGAGTCCACAAAAATGTTGCAGAGTGTTGTGTTGCTGCCCTGGGGCAGGATATTTTACTGACATTACCAGTAGAATATGATGGTAAAGTTGTTTGTTTCTACAAGGTCAGGATACAATCAGATTGACAGACTCGTTTGTTTTTGACCTGGAAATTAACAGAAGCTGCACAAAGTCTGAGTGATGTTTGATCATTTGTTGTAGGTTATCCTGAAAACACGTGCAGTGACTGATCATACTCAAGTCATTACATGTTTTAAATCTTATTAGTTATTTTATTTTACCAGAAAATAATTGTAAGCCCAGCTTTGATATGCAAAAATAAGGTAGAATATATGTCACAATTCAAATTTATATGCAACTGCAAATTTGTGGTGGGAATTTAAATGGGCAGTATGAAATAATAACTGTTTTAGATATTATTATTAAAAACAGATGAATAACTAATTCATGAGATTTAAAAAAAAAAGGCATTATTGATTTTTAAATATAATTTTGTTACAGTGGTTATGTATTATCCCCTTTTTGAACTTGTTTCTGAAATAACGTTTGACACTTTTTTTCAACATTTTTTGCTAAAAACACCCTTTTCCTTAAACCTGCCAGAATGCAAACGCACAAATTTATTGTCATGATTTGGAAGTCACTCCTGGCTGAATACGCAGCTTATGTAAGTAGGATGTAGGAACCTGAAGCATTCTTTGCACAAACATTTTAAATGGCTCTTCAATCAAGCAGGAAACATCTTGTATGTAAAATTAGCCGTATTTGCATAATTATGGGTTTAGAATTTCTTGCTGAAGGAGCAAGCACAGCTTTGTCAGGGGGAAAAGGGTAATTGAACACTGGAAAAAAAACAAAAAAAACAACTCAGACACAAATTATTTTCTCATTCCTAAAACATACCTGAGGGGGATTTTTTTTTTTAATAGCTGTAACTTAATGAAATAACTCAAGTGCATAATGGAAGAACAACTAATAATGAGAACAATCACATGAAGTAGCTCTTCTACAGTATAAAAAGATCACGTGATCAAACAGAAGCAGATGGAGATGGCCACCCCATCGTACTGCACCAGTGAGCCGCCACTGTCCCTGAATAAAACGTGATGTGTTTGTGCTGCCCCCTGCTGGTGAGCTGTAAGTTTACAATGTAACTGTCATTGTGATCAATAAGTTTATACAAAATGACCCAGCAACATAAACAGATAATTTAATTTACATATTGAACAAAAACTTGTGCAACAGATTTAACAGAAAAGGGTTAACATTACAGAACAGCTGAATTTATTAAACATGTTGAGTATGATTTTTAATTACATACAAACATTATAGTATAAAAAACTTTCAAAAGTACAAATAACATAAATGACAAAGCATTGTAAACATTCAGAATATGATAATAAAACTGAGTCCTTGTGGCAGTATTTGTAGAATAAAAGTTAATCATTTAACACTTATAAAACAGGTTTTTATTTCCCCCCACAATTTTATCTTGTAAATGCAAAAACGATGCCTCAAACTGAGACTAATAGAAAATGTCCCAATTATTGGGATGAGTGAAGTGTTTTCTTTCAGGGTTTCACATAACCCAAAACACCAAATATTGAAAAATACTAGTACATATATTTATGAAGTAAAAAATATGAAATGTACAGGTTGAATGTAACATAGTGAAATCAGTCTGTAAAGACTTAAATATCTGAAATACTCACATGAATCTTCAAGTTGTACTAAAAATGCAAAACAAATGGATATTCCATGCTGCCTTAAAGTTGGATTGTGCTACACAAAATGATCGTTCCTCATTAAATGAGGCAAGATCAAAGGAAACATGGCGATCAGATACAGGAACAAGCTGGAAGTTGCTACATGTGTCAGTACACAGTATGTCTGATATGAAGTGCATGCTATACTGGCTCCAGAAATGGGAGCTGGGGTGACAGGAAAGCCTTTTTGAAGGCTGCAGCTGGTTGACGTCTTCCTCAAGCTCGCTTGAGTTTGTCGATGTGGAAGGTGAGCTTGAGGGCGGGGCCAAGTTTCAAACCCATGTATTTCATCATCACATCGCTGCGCAGCAACAAGAGGGCTTTACCGTCAATATCCTGAAAGGAAACGCAAAACGGATTTTTATTGAATTACTTAGAAAATCTACCTATTTAAGTTGCACTTCAAAGTATAAAAGATAAAATGCATGCTCAGTGTGTTCAACTTATTGGATTGATTAAGATTTTATGTGGTAAGTACAAGTGAAGTTATTTTAAAAGTTTTTATATATATATACGTACATGTTTTCTGAAGAGGTCAGCATGTGGAGCTAGCACCGGGTCAATATCTCGAATATATTTCATGACTTCCTCTACAGTCCACAGATTCGGATCCTGACTGCTGGGCCTGGGGCTTTCTCGAAAACTGCCTGAACCTGCAACAGAAAAAGCCCAAATATAACTTCTTAAAACCACAAGCTGTTTTGACTTGGTCCTCTAATTGTGAAGAAAGATTCGTTAAAACATTACCGTATTTTTCGGACTATAAGGCACACTTAAAATCCTTTAATTTTCTCAAAAATCAACAGTGAGCCTTATGTATTAATTCTGGTTGTGCTTACTGACCTCGAACTGATTTTATATGGTGCACGGCGCTCAAAAATTTGTATTGTTTTGTATTTTATGTTTCAACTGAACAATGTTGAGAGTTGCAGTGAATGAGTTGAATAAAGTTCGACTTGTCTGACCGTTTTGTTTCGCTTAATGCGCCTTAGAGTCCAAGAAACACGGTGCATCTGCCTTTGAAGTCTGAGAGCCTTTAAGCCTTTTGAAAGTCTAACCCTCGTACCTGTGGAGCTGTTATGATGCAGCAGTTTGGAAGGTGATCTGATCAATCCTGGAGAATTTGGGGAAGCAGAAATCTTCTTCAAGTGCTCTGGTGCTGCAACAGTGCTCTCACTGAAAGGCTCGCCTGTGGACCGAACAGAAGCCTCACCAGTCAAATCAAATTATGATGCAGATGATTTAACAATTCAAAATGGAGAAAGTCGACTCCACAGAGTCGATCACAGTGAAAATGCTCTAAGAGAATAAAACTGATTTACGAACGTGTTAAGACCTTCAGTAAAAACTACATCAGTGTTTCAAGAGGAGATATTAGCTCTGAGGACGTATTTAACTACTTGTTTTATGTGATTGTTAAAGCTTAACTGGACAAGTCAGAGCAGTCCGTTTTAACGAATTCAGAGGTAACTACAAAACTTAGATATATTATATTTAGAAACTTTAATCAAACCTAGGGTTGATCACAGCAACACAAATTAAATTGATGGGAAAGATTGATAATGCTCGGCTTTTTAGTTACATCTCTGGGACCGTCATTTGTATTTAATATCAGGGTTTATGCCCTACTTTCATAAGAATACAAAGATGCAGACTGGACATAAAACTGTACTGGTCTTCATACCATTAGTAGAGTGTCGAGGGATTTTTGCATGTTTCTGAGAGAGGGAACCGTTGAAGTCCCGATGGAAGTGCTTGGTGCTTTGGCCTGGGCCTGTGGTCAGACTGTTTCCAAAACGTCTTCTCTCTAAAACCACGACACACAGAGAACAGAAAAGCAGCTGATGTATTGTAGCTAGAGACCGTTGTGATCCATGACGCAAGATGGAAGAAGCTGCATGTGATAAAAGATACAAATCAGTGGCCCAAACTCTCATCCTACTTCCTACGGAATCTATGAAGTGAAATAAGCAAATAGAGTCTATGCAATACATCATTTTGTATGTTTGCTTGTCACTAATAGGCAACTTTAGTGTAAAATGTATTACCGGTAAGTCACCATTTTCTACAGCATTGCAGCAAAAGAAATTGGGTCAGAGATAAGTGAAGAAGTTGGTGTTTAAACAATTAATATTTACATTACAGTGGACTCAGCAGTAGCATGCTGCTAACTGGACCATGTTGCTAAGATTAGCTCACCGTCATCAGAACCACTCTGCCAGTAGGACCACGCTGCTGTAGATTTATTTCTTTTTGGCGCCTTGTTTCTGTATTTTTACTGCACGTTTTAAATAAATCTTAAATATGTTAGTTTGGGGCTCTGAGCCCGACTCCGCTCGCATTAGCGTGTAAACTATAGCCAAACCGAACTATAAGAATCATGCTGCTGTTGTTCGGTGTATTGTTTTGCACTGTTAGGGACTAACATATATCTTGGATCTTTTAGCGTACTGTTGGGCGTTCGTTTAGCGTATATCTTAGATCCTTATTTATACACAATTTCGTTCCACCTCATGCACCACATGCGATGCGAATGACAATAAAGAACCTTGAATCCTTGAATTATTTTGCCTAGTTGCTTATTCAAAAAACGTCAATACCAAGTCACACGACCAGCACAGACGCTAACAAAGCAGGAAAATCTTTTGAAGTTTTTCTACTTAAAAAAAAAAAAAAAAAAAAGTCCTAACCACCTCAATGTTTTTTATTGCACACCTTCAATCGGACTTACATCTGGACAAGCAGCACTGTGCTTACAGCTTCAGTAGACTGAACACAGCCAACAACCAAGTCAACACATTATCTGGGTGTAGAAGCAGAGAACACACCATTAGAGCGCAGCCGTTCCTGACCTGTAGTGTATGAGTGACTGTCGTAGTGCAGATTTCCTCTGGCTACAGGCTGGCTGCCAAACAGAGGGTCACAGTGAAGGTTGTGGCAGAGTTTTTCCAGGAAACGGAGAACGTAGGTGACGCTGCTGACTGTAGGGAGTGTCAGGGTGTGCTGCTGCTTGTCAAAGAAGGCTGTACAATGCGCACAACGACAAAAAAAAAAGAATAGTAAATAAATAGTTTAGCTTCAAACTTTAGTCTTACAAGTGAAATTGTTAATGACCCATGAAACATTTTCGTTGTGAGAACAAGTTTTCTTGAATGGTTTTTGGACAGCAGTAAAAAACTGGACTCCTGCTGGTTTTTAAAATTACCATAGCAATAAAACAACAAGACAAAAAGAGATTCAAAACACCAAAGTTCATGCTCAATAATCCAGGTATAAACTCTAACAATGTTCAGTCAGGTCATCTGGACGGTTTCTTTTCTTGCCGAGACGTTTCTTCCTTCATCCAAAGGACTTCTTCAATCTGAGGAGCCAACAAACAAAACTTCATAGTGGGAAAAAACAGTTTGCTGGTGCTAAGATGGCCTCTGGGGCCCGCCCTCTCCCCCGTCAAATCCTCTGAGACAGTCATGCCAAAGTGGTTCAAAACACCAAAGTTCATGCTCAATAATCCAAGAATAAAATCCAACAAAGTTCAGCCAGATGACAAAGGAGAAGGCGGGCCCCAGAGGCCATCTTAGCACCAGCAAACTGTTTTTTTCTACTATGGAGTTGTGTTTGGTGGCTTCTCCGATTGAAGAAGTCCTTTGGATGAAGGATGAAACATCTCAGCAACAAAAGAAACCGTCCAGATGACCTGACTGAACTTTGTTGGACAAAAAGAGATATAGTGTCCAGTACAATTTGTCTTTTCAGGTTCAGTCCTCACCTGAAATGACCTCGCCTCCTTGTCCAGACTTGAGGCAGGAGAAGACGGAACCCTGGTTGTAGGCCGAGTCCACACAAGCTTGAACACACTGCTGAAGAACTGAGGAGGCTCGACCTGGACCAAAGTGATCTGGAAGGTGCTGGATACGCCTCTGGTCCAGGTGGGGTCCCACTTTGCCATACTTATTCAGGTACACACAAACTGTGAAGAAAAAAAAAACTGTCAACTTTGACTGAACAGACATTTCATGTCAGCTCTACTTCACAACCAGATTAGTAAACTTCTTTATTATCAGTATTTTGAAAGACAGCATTAGGTTACTGTCAGTATGAGTAAATAAAACAGCAGAAACATCGACAAACTGAGCCAGTCTTTAATATATTTATTGTTTCTAATGATAATGTGTTTGATGCCTCAGACTGGGAATGATGGGTACCTGTGGGAGCCTGTAGTGCAGAGTTGGGGATGGTGGCGTTGTCTTGGGGTACAGTGCTGGTGTCTGGCTCCGGGGTGCTGCTGGTGGGAGATGCAGGGACTAGATTGGGTATCACTCGAGGTTTTCTCTGTGTAAAGATACACATTTTACAATCTGACAGCACTTGGTGTTTCAATAATAAACTACAATCAGCAAACATAAGATATTCACAATAAAGCACATAGTGGCACTTATGTTTTATTGATTTTTATATTTTACCAGATGAGTGGTATCTGTTTATCAAAACACTAACAGAACATTACCAGAAAATCTTGTAATTTATCCAGATGACATGAATAACAGATATTAGATCATTACATTTTATTAAGACATAAATAAAACAAGTGATTGGTTTCCCAACAATTAAGTGATTATAAATTTAACGAGCTTGAACAAGCAAATGTACAAAATTAGTATGTAATAATAATAAAAAAAACAAATCCTCCATCACTTCTGCTGATTCTTGATGTACAGGTGCATCTAAAAAAATTGAATACTGTGAAAATGTTTTGTTTTTTTTGTCACTCATTTCAGAAAGTGAAAATCATATATAGATTCATTACAAACGGAGTAAAATATTTCAAGTCTTGATTTCTTGTAATTTTGAAGATGATGGATTACAAATAATGAAAAAACAAAATTCAGTGTCCCAGTAAATTAGAATATTCCACAGCCAGCTTTGGTACCTTCGGCCGTGTGGGCAGGAGCCGAGTCCTGCTGGAAAATTAAATCAGCATGTCCATAAAGCTCGTCAGCAGAAGGAAGCATGAAGAGCTCTAAAATGTTCTGGTAGAAGCTGCGTGGACTGAGGACTTCAGGAAACACAGTGGACCAACACCAGCAGAGGACATGGCCCCAAACCATCACTGACTGTGGAAACTTCAAGCAACATGGATTCTGGGCCTCTCCACTCTCGACCTTGATTTCTAAATGACATGAAAATTTACTTTTATCTGAAAAGAGGGCATTGGACCGCTGAGCATCAGCCCAGTTATTTGTCTCCTCAGCAGGTAAGACGCTTCTGACGTCTCTGCTTCAGGAGTGGCTGGACTTGAGGAATGAGACATTTGTAGCTCATGTCTAGGAGTTAATCAGCTGATCAGGGTGTGACACCAGAGTTTACAAAATGGAACCTCTTCACAATATTCTAATTTTCTGAGACACTGAATTTTGGCTTTTCATTATTTGTAACCCACAATCATTAAAATTACAAAAAATAAAGCATTGAAATATTTCACTGTAAGTGTAATGAATCTATACGAGTTTCACTTTCTGAAATGACTGACCAAAACTTTTTCACGATATTCAACCTTTTTTTTTTTTAGATGCACCTGCATTAACATTTTTCATGCAACCAACAGGTGTAATGTGAGGTTTATTGTTTCATTCTCCAGGACATCTACCTTGCTGCCAGGTTTGGGTCCTCTTTTCTTTGGCATCTTTATAAGTTCTGCCTGAGCTTGGGCTTGTTGCAGAGCTATCCTTTGTGCCCAACTGGCAACCAGTCTGCCTCTGGGCCGTCCGGGGCCAGCCATGACCTCCTCCAACCAGCCAGCTCTTTTTGCCCAGCCCAGCTACAAAGAAAATACAAAGCTTAAACAGATCAACCAAGGAAACAACTTTATCACTTGTGTTTTGAAACCCAAAGTAAAAACAAAAACAAGTAAAATGTATAAACCATCAACAGTTGTATATTTGTTCCTTTTTGTTTCTCTCCTCAAAACTCTTGAGCAAAGAATTTTAGGTATTTAACCAATGTAAACTGGATTTCTTGTACTTACAAAAAGCAAAAGGAGCACAATGTTCACAGATGATACATGTCATTCAATAACTGACTGGTTTTAAATTACCATTAGCTAAATAGTCCAACAATTTACTTCCCACCCCCACAAAATAAATAAAAAAATAAAATAAAAACATCAGTAACTGAAAACACAGAGTATAGGTGAACAATATATATTACTTAACAGTTTCCCACCAATATCAAACACAGCTTTGTTCATTACAACTTTTATTTCCACAAAAGAGCAAAGCTCAAGAGTAAACACAACCAAATTAACTCACACTGCCCCCAAGCGGCAGCAACGTGCTATTACATGTCACTGTGTGTCTGAAGGATAATGCAGGACGAATGCAGAAGTATGCTCTGACCTAAAGCCACTTCATGCCTACCTTATTGCCAGGCTTAGGTCCTCGTTTCTTGGGGATCTTGATGGGCTCCAACCCCCTTTCTGATTGAATGTTCTGAGCTACCAGTGCAGAAGGTTTTGGACTCCAGGAGCTCGTCACTTTTATTTTTCCGCGGCCTGACTTACGTCCTCTCTGACCTGGAGGTCTACCCACAGTGGGCGTGGGATTCATTGCTGGGCTCTCCTCACTTCCGTCTGTCAGTACTCCAAGATTCTTAGGCAACACAGCTGGATAGGTAGAAATGGACAAACGGAAAATGCGATTTTAGATGAAAGTCCATCACTAATATGTGACACAATTGTGCCTCACAGATGACATGAATAACAGATATTAGTTAAATCAAAATCCTACAACTCTTCAAAAAGTACTCATATAAAATACAAATGACCTTCTGAAAAATAAAACAGTCAGCTGCTGTTCACTGAGAAGTAGCATTTTGAAGTATCAAGTTGAGTCATTCCCTAAAATGAACATAATTAATATTAAATATTAGTCTTGAGTATATATGCTCCCCAGTCCTTTTTTTAAAATGTTATTTTTTTTTAGAAATGTTCCAGAGGAATTGCATGTGGACAAAAAATATATATATTTTTCCCAACTCAGCCACCTAATAAAGAATCAATAAGCTGAGAAAATGTTTAAAGCAGCAATTTGGGTAGATGTATTATAAATATGTGCAGCTAAGAGTTATAGCTTCATGTACCACTGCATTTAGTTTTCGTCTGACTTGTTTATATTATGGCTCCCTTCATAAATGCAAAAAAATAAATTGTCAGTGATATTCATCTGGCATTTGTGGCAGGAAAATGGTTCATAATCTGCTCATTTATGAGTTAAACTTATTTTTCTCAAATATAGGTCTCCAATAATGAGCAAGAAAAATGTATGTCTTTTTACAATTCTTACTTTGTTATTATTTTATGGGCGGCTGTGGCCGAGTGGTTAGAGCAGTCGTCCTACAATGAAAGAGTTGGAGGTTCGAATCCACCAGCAGTCACATGCCGATGCGTCCCTGGGCAAGACACTGAACCCTAAATGCCTCCAATGTGTGTCCCATTGGTGTATGAATGTGATAAACCACTGATCAGTCTCTTTAGAATGATTTGTTCAATTAGCTCTGTAGAGATCTAGTGGAGTGCTGTGTGAATGGGTAAACGAGGACACAGATTGTAAAGAGCTTTGAGTATCTTGATAAGAAAGGCGCTATATAAGTACAGTCCATTTACTATTCTGCACTCAAGCTTTTTCAGCAGCATACGGTCAAACCATCAGCAGAAATGTTCTTTTTAGAACGACCTTCACTTATAAAGCTGCTGACGGTTCATTGTTCTAACATAGAGAGAAAGAAAAAGAGCAAGAAGTTGCATCATGGTACCCACTGGTTTCTTCTTTGTTTTCAAAGCTCCAAAACTGCCATCAACACTTTATACTTATTAAAGGATAAACATATTAGATTTGTCTCATCGGGCTTAGATCATAAAACAAATAGCTTGCAACTCCCTGTCTGTTTACATTAAGTTCACTGATTAGCATCCAAACAACACTTTGTAAAAGTTACCTTCAGTAACTACTTCCTGTTAGGGAATAAACCTGCAGCATGAAAGAAAGGCACTGTGTCTCACAAGCTGTGCTGGAATGAAATATGTTTTCTAGTCTAACTTGCTGATAACTACAGGTACTTATAAGCAATCATGCTTTAAAATGAAAAAAAAAAATAAATAAATAATAAAATAAATAAATAAATAAATTAAGCATTAATTGATGTACCCCTATGCAAAGTTATAATTATACCAACTAAAGTATGTAGGACAGTTTTGTACTAATGCGATGAGAACTGTATACAACCAGTGGTGGGATGTAACGAAGTACAACTACTTTGTTACTGTACTTAAGTACATTTTCCATGTATCTGTACTTTACTTAAGTAGAGTTAAAAACATGGGTACTTTCGACTTTTACTCCACTACATTTTACATTAAGTATCTGTACTTTCCACTACACTTCTATAATGCGTTACAAATGACATTTGTGTTGCAGTTTTTTTTATTTGTTTGTTAGTTTGAAAGTAACCGATGGCGAGTTGGTCCATTGAATCACTGCAAAGTGGGCAAGTAACATTAGATCCACCTTCACGAAGAGCTGGGCCAATGTCGTATATTCTAGTACAGGCCTATATGTCATTGAGCTGGACGCAGCCACAGCAACGCTAACATACCCAACATTCCAGTGGATTCCACTACAGAGTCAGCCAGAAGATACACACCACCCATGGCCTTATTGAAAGATTATTGAATGACCATTCAGTACAGCATGCAGGGGGGACTGGCCATCAGGCGCGCCGGGACATTTCCAGGTGGCCTGGTCCTGCTCAGTGAACTGGACTAAAGGCTCGGTCCGGGTCGCGCTTGATTATTTTAAATAAACAAGCCGTTCTTGACAGCAGGACAGATTTTATCTCCCAAAAGAGACAGACTGGACTCAAAAAAAACTTTGAACACCAACTTATTCTAAACTTAATCAAGACATTCTTGCTGCAATATTAAAATGTGTCAGTTCATGGGATGTTAAGACAGGAGACATGAGATGTCTCGACACTCAGGTCCAAGTTTTGAAAATGGTGTCAGGAAGTTAAAATATTCACTATTGACCCATTACAAGGTCGACTGGACAGTATTTTAACTAGAGTTGATGACAAACTGGAGTTGAAATGATCAGAGTCTGTTCCGTTGTTAGGATAATGCTCCTTTTGTTCAGGCAGACAACTTTTACTTAAATGTGTTTACTGCAGTTAAAATGACACATTGGTTTTACTTTGTGTTAAATAAAAACTTTCAAAGATATAATCATTCTTCTTTCTTATTTTGCTTAATGGTATTTAACACATCCCTGAAATTCTGACACAGAATCACAAGTCCAAGTGTGAACTGTGTCACAGGGGAAACACAATAAAACTGCAGTGTTGTTCATTAAAATGACTCAACACTATTAATGTATTACAGAAAATATACATACGGTAGGCACACTTAATGATAATGTAGAAAAGTAATACATTCAGCAAGTACTTTTACTTTTAATACTTTAAGTATTTTTAAACGCAAGTACTTACTTACTTTTACTTAAGTAAAAACGTTAATGTGGTACTTTTACTAGAGTACATGTTGTGTCTGTTTATTTGTACTTATACTTAAATACAGTGTTTGAGTACTTTCTCCACCACTGATTACAACGTTAATGTTAAATCAAAATCTGCCATAAATTGTGATGCACAACCACCTACATCCATACAAAGAAAACAGGTTTAAAACAATTTCTTGTGATACCTCATAGCCAAATTTGGCTAGAAAATGAAGAAAATGTGCAAACACCTTCTTTAGGATTAAACCCTAATATAGAAGAAAGCTGCAGGCTGCAGAGTCAGGCTTGACATTTATCTCCCAAATGTCCTCCCAAGAACACATGCTTTGTTAGATGATGGGTGAGCATTTTAGGAATCACATCATCAACTGAAGGAACAAGTAAACGCGTGGTAAAACGTTGAAGAGGGACAATATTTACCACATAAAACAAAGCAATAATATCGAAAGCCATCAAAACTGGCAATATCTCAAGAATGTGGGCACAGAAAATCAAAAAGAAACCACACTGTCAGGACATTTAGCTTTATATGTATATATATATATATATATATATATATATATATATATATATATATATATAAAACTGTAAGTGTCTACAAACTCCATGAACATAAATTGAACTGTATTAACGCTGAATCAATGAACCTCTCATGTACATGTCCAGAGACAGATTCATGAGCTACAGCCACATTCATTAGCACAGGTCTTGGCCTGTGGGGCTGTATTTATTTAAACATGCACGCAAACCAATCAATGCAAAGCTCAGCCTGCATGCTGCTGCGACTTTTCATGCGGGAGTCACAGCAAAGGTTGAGGAACAACAAGATTCCAGCGATTGATTCTGAAACAATTAAGACAAATTCGTAATAACATGGCTAAAGGTGTAAAGAGTTTGAGGTTACGACTGATTGTAAGAGCTGCAAACGCAGTCAAACACATTTAAACAAGCCATCTCTTTTCCCTCCGCCTCTTTCGGAGTGCACCAAGTTCATTGAGTTCACAAAAGCAACACTGCCCGCTTCACATTACAGCAACTCGACTTCTACAGAGCTTTTCATCTATGACTCAATAACTGCAAATGCATTTTAATTAGTTTTACTCACCCTGTAGCCCAAACAAAAGTCCAAAAAAAGTGTATGTCTGCTCAATTGTCCTCAGATTCACCCTCTCCTGCTGCCTCGTCCTCTGTTTTTCCCCCCACTCTTCCTGAGTTGCTCCTCCTTCCGTTCTTTTTCCACCCTTCTCTTTTTCTCTCCTCCCACCATCAACTTACAATGTAAACAATCCACCTTTCACACCACTTGCCTGTCTTTTCTCTTCGCTTCCATCTCCTCTGTAAGCGTAACACTTTCCAACGGGCATAATCAGACCCAGAGTGCCAAAGAGAGGCCTGTGGAGGGGCACCGAAGCTTGTTTCAACCACGCCATGGCCTACTTTGTCAACTGGGTGGCTGCCAGAGCGTCATAAAACACTAGCAGGCTACACAGACAAGCCTTGCCTCCCCATTTCCCTTCTTCTTTTTTACCCCACTGCATGCTGCGGAGTGAGGACTTTCAACCCTGCATTTTCTTTGACATTTCATGCACAATAAATGGATTTACTCCTGTTCCAAGCCCTTGCTGTAGCTTAGCTGCACACTAAAAATGAACAAAGTTACCACTTCTGAACAGCTTTGACGAACCACGACCCACCTGCTTAACAGAAATAACTATTTATCACAAAGTTCAATCAGATGTGTTGGAAACAGTGTTTTAGAGGACAAGCAGAACCACAGGCGTGCTAGCTCAGAACAGCTCGCAAACTCTCTGAGAACTGAGTGTAATTCAAAAAGTCTATGACGAGTCTGCACTTTGGTACCACCTTATTGCTGTTTTCATGCTTTTTTAAATGATTAGATGTTTTGGCCAATTAAACATTTCTTAGACCTGATGAGGCTTTGAGAGCTTTAGACGACAAAGCTAGCCCAAGGCCACGTTGAGTGAACGAGTTACATCGATCTGTTTTTAGCATTTATGAAGTCTTTGCCCGGGGAAAGGGACTGCTTTAGGAGAAAAGTGGCAGAATGAAGACCGGCTGAAAATGGTGTTTGCTTTTTTCATTCTTTATCAAATTCTTCTATATTGTCAAAAAAGCTGGACATGTGAAATGCATTGATCAGCTAAAACCAGGCAAGTTATAGGGTTAGATTATGCAGACGCGATTACTAAATTTATTATTATTATACATTATGAGGAATGCTATATTGAAGTTTTCACGCTGCACATTCACTGATTAATAACTAGAGGCAGGATGGGAATGTAGTGAAGTTAATAATCTCAACAGGAACAATAAAAAAACATTTGTATTTATGTCAAGGGGAAAGAAGCACTTTCAAACATTCGTGTGTGTTAGGTCAAGATAACCATTTGCTCATTTCTACCCCACTCCTGATAAGTACGGCAGCTCTGGCATCAATCAGTCTGTTTGGCTTTGGCACTGAAACCAAAGCTGTGGGAGCTAAGCAGAAACAGCTCCGTCTCCGGCTTTCTTTCCATCGTCAAGCTCTGACGATACTAGAGATGTTCATTTATGATGTACTAGCCTGAACAAAAGCACAGGAAGAATGTTGGGTTTTCAGCGGTGTGAAGCTTGAGTTCCCCTGGGAGTGTGGTAAATCTGTCACTACTGTTTATATGTGCAGTTTGTGTGAATATGTTTCCCCCATCACAGGCTTGAGTCTGAATAACCACACAGTGACTTTTGGTTTAAGACTTCCTTTACACAGTGCAAGTGCTACTATTTGATAAAATCTTCAATGAAGTAAACACTCCTAGAACATCAAAAACCAACACACTGAAAGGGACATTTAGCTCACGCAACAAGGCAGGTCTGATGGTTTCTTTCTGAGAAAAATAAAATAAAATCCTAGCAACACCTTTGTCTACTGGGATTCTTGAATTAAATTGAGTCTTTCCTCAGATGTATTGTTTTATACTGAAATTTATGACCGGTTAAAAAAGGAGGGGGTGTTGATACAAAAAAAAAAAGTAACCAGACCATTCGATCTCATTTGGCCAAACTTATGAAAAGTAACAATAGTGCAGGTTAAATACCGGTACTGTCCAAAAGTTTGCGCCTTGTGAAGAAAATATAAAGTTAGCTACTCTAAACATCAATATTGAGTACCGTATTGTCCGCCCTATAAGTCGCATCAGTCCAAATATGTCTAATAAAGTGGAAAATCCATAAATATGTTGTTTCGCCGTACACGTCGCATCTATTACGCGTCACCGCTGACGTGTTTGTTACACGTCACTGCTGACAACCTGGAAATGTGTGCCGGTGTTGTGCCTAAAATCGATTAGTGGCCAAATGGCAGCTGTGGGAGCGTGCACGGGAGGACTTTAACAAGAATTTGACAAGATTAACACTTAAAAACAATTATTTGTTTGCTCAAAATTATAGTAAAGCTGTGTCTCAGTCTAATTTTGCTTAATAAATGCACTTTGACGGTCAAATCAGCTGCATTTTCAAAAGCCGATACGTGGAAACATGAACGCGCAGAGGACGACTTGCTGTACATTTCTTCAAAATTTATCAAGATAACCACCTAAAAACAATTATTTGTTAGCTCAACTTTATAGTAAAGGTGTGTCTCAATTGAACTTTTACTTAATAAATGCACTTTGACGGTCAAATCAGCTGCATTTCGCCGGAGCGGTGCAGCGAAATGAAGCTGATTCAGTTGCTCCAGACAGACGGCAGTGGCAGAATATGGCAAGCCGATTATGTCATTAATAGCCACTTTTACCTATTACATGATACAATGGCATGTCTTACTACTCGAGTGCCATCTAGCGGCTGAAGATGGTAGTGTTCAATTTTTTCAGTCAGAATGAATGTAAACGGTCATCTCTCAGCCAAAAATTGATTTATAAAAAAGGAAAAAAGATCCATAAATACGTCGCTTCAGCCTATAAGTCGCAGGGCATGCAAATTATGCAAAAAACTGTGACTTATACAGCAAAAAATATGGCATATGAACACCAACAAACAAAATTTGCATCTGCTGAACTCCACAAGTTGCATAAAAAAAGGTTACCCACATCACTGAGGTACAAGTTCTGCTCCAGAACTAAACCCATACAACACTTAAAAGTTAAAGTCCAGACCTTTGGTGCCGGGCGGCTGAAGGTTGTCTCCAGTGAGGGTACACCAACCAACTGGGAAGATGTCCCGCGAGTCATAGCGGCAGTAGTAATCAAAGGCCCCGCGCCATCCATCAAAGGTGACCAGCACCTCCACTCCACGCAGCGCACCAACTGTTGCCGGGCAGATAAAGTGTGGATTTTTCCGATCCACTGCCTCCAGCTTCATTCCCACCTGGAAAGAGTTCTGCTCTGGAGCGGGAGGCTCCTGCTGGGTAATGCCAGGAAACAAAGAGAGGGTCAGGAATGGAGGTTGGTGCACTGAAGTGTGAGGTTAGTCATTTGTAGCAACGAAAAAATAATGCACACAAAAACACTGAACACATTGGTGAGATTGTAACAAGTAATAAATAAACTGTGAACACAAAGGATTAGTAAACAATCATGTTTGACTTTCTCAATAAAATAACACATTCACTTTGAATTTTCAGTGCATTTTTAGGTCTGTGAGCCTTGTACAGGTACCTTGTGAAAAATGCGAGATGGAGCCATTTCAGCACCATTTAGTGTTTTCAGAAGAAACATGGGCCAAGAGGACGCATTGAGACGGAAACCTGAATAGAAAGATAATTTGAAGATGGTGAATGATTAACTTTGCGTTATTATAAACAAAAACTGACAAACCATACAAAGACAGAACAAAGTTATTTGGTAACCTGTCAAATATTACCATACCTTGCAGTTTAGCACGGATAAAAATGTTTCTTTCCTTATTCAGACTATATTTGTAAGAATATTAGTTGCTTTATGAGGATGGGTGATAAACCTTTTTGGTTTTGGACTGCTGGTCATAAAAGAAAATAAAACAAAAATCTAATTTACTTTGAGAAAGTACAATCTATTGATCTATTAATGGCATTTGTTATAGAATTTTAAATTTGACAATTAAATGAAAGCAAGCAGCAACAAATAATTTACGCAGAAGGCCTCAGATCTTTTTGTAGAAATACACATCACATCTTTTTTTTTTTTCCTCCCTGGCTCTGATCGAGGTGGCTGCTTCCGTTTTTTCTTCTTCCTGCTCTGCTCTCTGTGTGTCTGAAGTGCCTGGTTCACATCTCCCGAACGTAAATTAAGAAGATTATGGATCTGGTATCCTGGACGTTCAACTCTATTGATAAGATTTTTTCATCAAAGCGACAAGGTCCTGGAGAACCAGCGTGTCCAGCTGAAACACACCTGTGGGGTACGTCATGGATCCGTGGGGAGTGTGGCAGATGATGTGTCTCTCAGTTCTGTCTCAGGAGGATGTTGAAGACGTTTACATATTTGGAGTTATGATAGCAGGGACTCTGCTTTTTGGCATCGGCGGGGCTCTGTTTTATCAACTTTTGAAGAAGACATCGGCAGCAGTTTCGTCCATGGAAAAGCTTCTGAGTCAGTGTGAAGGTTTGGTCCGTGCTGTAGGAACTCTAAATCAACTGGTTTACGAGCTAAACCGTAAGGTGGAGGCGATTTATGAGAATCGCAGGCCACCTGCGGCTTCTGCGACTCGTCAGCGCGGTGGGTTCGACCTTGAGGGAGACTCATAGCATGGATCAGTGGAATGGAATCCCACAATTAGGCTATTTTGGAACCAGAACGTCCAGATGGACTCAAGGCTAAAGAAAAAAGTAACCTGTCTGCCTGAAGAAAATCTACAATCAAGCTTATCTGAATCTAACTCTCGACGGCCTCGGAATGGGCCGACTATCAAATTTCTCCTGGGTCATGGATAACCAAGGACAAAAGCTTCATCTATCGCACCCCCCCCCCCCCCCCCCCGGAGAACTTTCTGTGCAAGCTTATCAGAACTGCTGGCTGAAACAACATCTTCAGAAACTGTGGCTGATTTGAAAAGCACTCATAGACCAATCTCAACACCTCAACGTCAAATGCAAATGTAATCATGCTTTAAATGTGCTTGCTGGTAGAGTTTTTTGATGTCTCAAATCGTGTCCTGATAGACAAGATGTGAAAGATCTTTTTTTGTAATACCACTACCTACCCTCATGTTTCTCCCTTTTTTCCTATCTAAGATTATTATCTGATAAGGATAAGAGAGGCCGCGCTTAGAGCAGCAGCAGCTTCAAGCACTCCGTCCATCTTCTGGACGACTGCATGTACATGTTCTCGTTGTATCTCAGTGCAATAATAAAGCTTATTCTGATTCTACGATTCTTAATGCTGCAGGAGTTTTATGACTAATCACTGACCTCCAGAGGCAATTTATAAAACAGTATGCTAACAAAAAACAAAATATCTTCAGAAATCAGTAAATCCCAACTTAAAGAATCATGTTTTTTCACAATAGCATAAAAAGTCATGGTGTAAAGTGAAGTTTATCTGTGGTTGTGATCTTACCCAGTGGAGGCTGTAGCATGCCTCCATTCTTTTCACAGCTACCAATTGGCTGAATCTCTGAAGAATCCACCAGGCGCCAGAAGTCGTTCTTATTGTCAGACCCGTCTAAACGCAGCCGAAGTCGCGAGCCCGTCAGGCCCACCACTGTGGCGATGCAGGTGGACGTGGTGTTCCGTGGGTCCTGGGCTTCCAGTTTCATGCCCACCTTGAACTCATTGACTGGAGGTGTGAGACTCTACATAAGCAATAGTTGAAAAGAGGCAGAAACATGAGCAGAAATGAAAGAAGGCTAAATTATGAATGAAAAAGTACAAGGATTGCCCAATGGGATCACCTGTTTGAAACAGGAAGAAGGAGCAGCAACAGCACCAGTCTCTTTCAGATACTTCTCCCAACTGAAGTGACCTGCAGAAAAATGCCAGGTTTCTATTATGAACATTTGAACGAAACTTTGTCTTTAAGATGAACAAAAAACAAAAATCAAATCATTATATGCCGAGTCCTTTTCAAATGAGACATAACTTATTTTATAAATCGCAACATAATATGTTTTTTTACCTTGATACTCGGAGGGCACTCGGGAGGGCCGTCCACTCCGAGGATGCTTGATTATTCTGGTATCTTTCCATTCTAAAGCTGCAGGAGCCAAGCAAAAAAAAAAAAAAAAAAATCTTTCAACTGACACTAGTTTTTACATGATACCTTGCAATAATTGCAACATTCACTGTTTAACAAGTATGCTGTTATTATTTGTAATGTCATGCTTGCTTACTTACAATGAGAAAAGTAATGGATTAAAAAAAAAACATAATTGATAATAAACAACTTCTTACGTTTTTGTGGCACAGGTTTCCTCATGCTCCACTAATTTGGATCAGATAACAACTCAGTCACACTAAGAACAAGAAAATACACACAAAACACCTCAAAATGTTAAATCATACTTTAAATTTTCAACTAAAATTTATCATGTATGCACAACATGTCACCTATGAGTGGTAATGCCAAACTGAAGAAAATACAAAATGGAGTAAAGGATAGAGATATTATCCTAAAAATTCCTTACCACAAAATAACTCAATGACTTGCTGGTGTGTCACCTATTTATTTCACTGATATACATGCAAAGTTCTTAATTACAATAATTAAAAATGATAATGACTTAAATGCAAAGGTTAGCATAAAAGGTACTCATTGCAAAGTATTAAATCAAACAAAAAGTTTATCCGAATGCAGTTCTTCAGTAGTTTTCCATACATTAATATGCAATTCTGAAATGTGGGTCCACACTCAATGAAAACAACCACAACAAAACTTGAATCATGAGATTCACGTATACATTATGGACGTAGTCTGTGTGGATAAACGAAATTAACGGAATCTGGGACGTGTAAAATTTTAAAGAAGACACGTGGGTGTAAACAGAAGAGTGAATCTGTTAATAAACTTGAAAGAATGAATAAAGCTTTGTTTATAGTCCATGCAAAGTGCTGAAACTGTATCTCGCCAAACTAAATAAAACTTATGAGGGTATTCAAAGAACGTGTGGAAGGAGATTGGACCATCTTTGTGCACGGAGGAGACAGAGGCAGCTCTCCATGACTGTACTGACTAACGGTGACCAATGGTAGAAATGTACAAAATAGTGCATCTCCTCAGTTAACATACAAAATACCAGCTCTTCCTCCTTCAACAACTCCATTATCAACTGATAGACTGCAAACCATGTTGTCTGTGTTGATTCTGTTTACGTGATGTGTGCTGCAGGGGGAGGTCGGTGGGAGAATTAGTACTTCTCCCCTGCAGTTTCTCTTTAGAGTATGAATGGTCCATTAGAAAAAGATCTTCTCAAATGTCAGCAAGATCCGATGTCTCAAAGTCTCGTGAACTATAGTAGCACAGCTTTTAAGAATAAATACCAAGGATCAAGCAGGAAGAACGCCAAACATGGAGCTCGGCATTCAAGCACAAGCAGCTGCCAAACTTCTACACGGATAAATTTACTGTTTCAGCCTAACATGTCTATTAAATCTGTATAGTTCATTTACCAAATCTAAGCATAAACATGTACCATTAGATCTAAATAGTCTGCATTTTTTCTGTAATCGTGGTACTGTAGACCTATTTTGAATTACTTCAGCTCTTTTTGCAATTTTTACATATTACACACAAGAACATATTAACAATGTTCGATGATAATGATATGAGAAGTGATATGCAGATTTTAGTTATTACTTCATGATTTTTTTTTTTTAATCAGTCATGACTTTATAATGAGTACCTTTAATAGGAGCAAGTCTCGTTTTTCCTCAGTAACAACAGTTTCACAAAAAAGGGGAAGGCTGGTGGAACAGTGAGGCTACAAGGAGCAGAGGTCACAACGGTGCAGGACTTCAAGTACTTGGGCTCGACTGTCCAGGAAAATGGAGAGTGTGGTAAAGAAGTGAAAACGAGTCCAGAAAGGATGGAGAAAAGTTTCAGGAGTGATTTGCAACAAAAAAGTGGCAGCAAACGTCAAAGGAAACGTTTACAAGACAGTGGTGAGACCAGCTATGTTGTATGGTCTTGGAGACAGTGGCACTGACAAAAAGACAAGAGAAAGAACTGGAAGTGGCAGAAATGAAGATGCTGAGGTTCTCCTTAGGAGTGACAAGGATGGATAAGATTAGGAATGAGATCATCAGAGGTACAGCACAGGTTGAACAACTGGGAGATAAAGTTAGAGAGGACAAACTGAGATGGTTTGGACATGCCCAGAGAAGGGACAGTGGGTATATTGGTAGAAGGATGTGATAAATGCAGCTGCCAGGAAAAAGACAAAGAGGAGATATATGGATGCAGTTAGCGAGGACATGGAGGTAGTTGGAGTGAGGACAGAGGATGCAGAGGACAGAGTGAGATGGAGGAGGATGACTCGCTGTGGAGACCACTGAAGTCGGAAAAGCCAAAAGAAGTTTCACAAAACAACAGAATAGTTTAGATACGAGGACATCAAGTATTATCTCCTGCTTTCCAAACCCCTTCCCTTTACCACACAGTAAGGTCAGAGGGTCAGACAAGTGCTTCATTTAGTGTGGTATGTAAAATATAGTCATACATTAAGAAAACACTAAATATATTTGTTTGCATTGACTGATTATTGGCAACAGACTTCTGTATAGACGTAAAGAGGTTCACAACATGCCAGCTATTTGCATTTAACCAGGAAATACATTCTCGCCTCGAAATGAGGACAAAGGATCCACTGTGAATGACATTTGTAAGCTTGGCAGTTCATTTGATCGTGTTTACCTTAAAACTTCATAACCGTGTGTCGGCGTTTTTCCTCTCTGGATGAGTCTCCCTTCATCAGAAGTGCGCCCTTTTTTTTTTTCCTCCGCCAAGAGGGGATGGCGTCCAAATTAAAGTGACCTCGCTCCTTGTTGTCAAAGCTGCAAAACTGACAGGGAGACAGGCGTTTAGACTCCTGCAAGCACACTTTCTTCTTCTTCTTCCTTTTACACAGTGACGATAGTCGCTTTCATTTGTCTGACAGCTACATGAAATTATATTTTTCTGTCAGTTGACAGGTTATCGCAGCTCATATCAGAATATGAGCTCCATTCATAACTCCAAGCAGCCAACACAACGCCCTCTCGTCGTATGTTTACATAAACTGTTCGTGGCAACAGCGTGTCAAGAATGCCATTTATCGCTCATTACCGACTTAACAGTGCCCCATTACTTGAATGAAAACACCACAGACTGAAACGCGACATTAATACAGACGCTACGCTGCACACATGCACATCGACATGCCCATTGCTCACTGCTTTATGCTAACTTAGCATGCTAAGTGGCTCACGCGCTCTTTAAACGAGCGCCAAATATTATCATTTAGTAAAACGGGAGTTCAGCTAAAGGTAGTCGGGGCTCATCCCGGACCCAAAACGAGACTTGGTTCGGTTTTTACCTTCTTAGTAACGTTTGAATTTGTTTCTAATGTAGGTTTCAGCGCTTGCCCGCCATGTTTTTCTCCACACAGTGAGGAGGGGGTCGCGTGTTTTTAAGCCAGTATTTCTTCTTGGACATTAAGGCAGGTAGTCAGGCTGAGGAATGAAGAAAAGGTAAAACAGCGACCCCTGACGGCCAGAAGGTGGTATTACAAGTTCAACATGTTATATTTTACACGCAAGTAACAACGATCTAGTAAACAGTTTTACTGCAATGTGCTGTAAATTTGGATTATGATTGTATATGTACCTTTTTGTTGTTTTTGTTTATTGTGCTGTGATTTACTGGTGATCTGTCCATACGTCACTTCTTACCCACTGATTGCTGAGATAAAGTTCAAGGAGACTTATTGTCATTCGCATCACGTTACATGAGGTGGAATGAAATTGTGTACTCAAGTTCCTGGTTACACCCAAAAAATAGCAATAATATAACATATAAAAAAGAAACAGTATACAAGGATCTAAGATATAAACTAAACAATAATAATATAATATAAATAAAGTGTATTAAACAGCAGCCTGAATATGAGTCTGTTGTGAGCAGAGCAGATGGGTATGAATATAGCAGCTTATGGGTAAGAAATCAGCAGCACAAATATAGTCTCAAATGTCCAATTAAAGTGGCACTACAGTGATTTTTTTTTTTTTTTTTCTGGTTAGGGGTTTACGAGTCTTACAGCTTCAGGGTAGAAGTTGTTCCTCAGTCTAGTGCAGGGGTCTGCAACCTTTACAATCAAAAGAGCCATTTTACGCCTTCGTTCACTAAATTAAAAGTGATCAGAGCTGCAACAACCTGCCACAACTGTGATTATCAACTGGTGGCCCACGGGCCATGTTAGGTTTGTTGGAGGAGACTTTTGTGGCCATTACGGATGACATTATAAAGCTAAAAATATCTAAGACCAGATTCTTGGGGGGTAGTTTTCTAATTAATAAAAACTATTAACTATGCAGACCTATGTATTTTTTTAATTGTGGAAAAATTTATTAAGTATAAAAATAAAACATAAAGTTAAAGTGAGTATGTTTTACTCCTTGTACTTGTTCCAATATTCACATATTTGCAAAAGAAATGACAGGAAAACTGATAAAACTAGTCCTTTTTGTTGTTTGTATAACAACCAATAAAATTCAGTTTTATGTTAGTTTTGGTCAAAGCTTGAAAGAGCTGCTGCAGAGGAACCAAAGAGCCGCATGTGGCTCCAGAGCTGCAGGTTGCAGACCCTTGGTCTAGTGGTTCATCCCAGACCAGCTCGCCTCAGCCGCCTGAATAAGTAGAGTTGCTGATGAGCTTTCTTGATCAAACTGGTGGTGTTGTTGCCCCAGCTGAGGTTGTCATTAAGGTACACACCCAAGAACTTGTAACTGGAGACCACTTCCACCACAGATCCTCCTATGTGCGTGGCGGGGGTGTGTGGAGTATGTGTGTTTACTCCTTCTGAAATCCTCATATATTATTATCATTAGTACTGTGTGCACACTGAGAGTCCAACTGAAAACTGATCAAACATTCCTTAACAAATTACCAATACTTTATTTTCTAATGTGTTTATTTTAGTGATATATACATAAAGTCTTTCAAATATTTCTTCAAAGTTCATGCCCAATAATCCAGCTAAGACATCCAACAATGTTCAGTCAGTTCATCTGGACAGTTTCTTTTTTTTGTGGAAAGATGTTTCACCCTCCATCCAAAGGGCTTCTTCAGTCTGAGGAGTCCCAAACAAACTGTTTTCCACACTAAGCAGTACACTCAATATTTAAAATATTCTTTTGAAGACTGTTAGAAAGCTTTGTTGAAAAATTCTACTAGTATAGTAGAAGTTTTATGACTTTAACAATTTTATAAGTTTAAACGAATTCTACAAATAGTATATTTTAACGTCCCTATATAATTAAAAAAAAAAAATATATATACACTGTTTATTTTAATTTCATTGCACTACACAGTACTTAATTGCAGCAAAACCACTTTTGCTTTCATGTTTTTCTTACGTGAAACAGATACTGAGCAGCTCCACAGTCTTGATAAACATGATCATTCATTGATGACAAGAATATCAGGACAATAAATGTGGATGTTAGCAAATGATGCTGCTGCGACAGCACAAAAGCCTGCTCTAGTTTGTTTTAAGCTGTGCTCTAGTTTTCTGAGGAAAACTAAAAGTGTTTTTTTTTTTTGCCCTGAGCAGAACACGAACAACATTTGATCATCAGTGCATGCAAAGTTTGATTTATTAACCACGGTTTGTTCCTGTTTAAATTGTTGCTTTTGTTGATAGAATAAGGTAAACTCATAAACAAAAATGCTTTATTTGAGCAAAATGAGCAGCACGTCAGAAAAAGTTTCATCTGTTGCAATTGCAGCCTAATACTGTATCTATAAAGATGTTTCAGAGAAATTGCAAAGGTGTGGAAATTAAAATTAGGCTTCATTTGGTAATGTCATGCCAATTAGGTCAAGGTAGCAACTGTAATTATGTGATTTGGAGAGACACCCAGCAGTTCAATTGTGTGTAATGGTCACCTGGCAGCACAGCTAATGCCCATTTCAGCCTCCGCTGGGCAGGCCATGGCCTATTGGCCCCCTGCGCACCAGGCAATTATGTTTGGTTTCACACGGTGAAAAGGGTTAATTGGCAGCGCCCACGTGCCTGCTTGGACCTGTTTCACGCTTGTCAGCCTTCATCGTATCAAAGGAAGCTTCAGTTCACTCGGCACCATTATTAGAACTCACACAGCCAAACTCTGCATAGGTAAATACAACACTTTCACGACTGCGAAAATAATAAACACACATGTATACACGTTAATTCCCTAAAACACGCATTCACTTATGGAAACATACATGTATCAAAACTCTTTTTCTATACAAAAGCATGGATGAGCATTTTTGTCATGCAAAAACATGATTGCTTGCATAAACTGGAATTAATGTTAAATTTTTGGAACCATTCTCAGTGCGACCACCAGGGGTCAGTGTTGTCTTTTATAAAGCATGGACACATGCAGCACTTCTATTTTTTCTTTCTTTTCTATTCAATGCTCAGTACATCTTATCACCATCTCTGTCACTTGCTGGCATCAACTTTTGAACTTTTATTTAGCCTCATATCACGCTTTTTTTTTAACATTTATTTTGTCTTTCATTCTGTACAAGCATTTAGTTTCCCTTTAGATATGGTTATCAAATACAGGTGAGAGACAAAAAAAATTGAGCTTGTTAATGATAGTCATTTTTTTTTTAGATGTGCCTGCATGTTTGGAAAATCATCAGATTATTGTGTATCTGCTTGTGATTTTAATACCGAGTGTTGCTGAGCCATGCATACTGCAGATTATTTGTTACTCAGATCACTATGTACAATTATTTATTTAAAAAAGCTTCAAACTCTGGGCCACCAGCAGTCAATTTAAAGTCCATTCTAGCCATTATACAAGCCATTACAGTGACAAAGTAAGGATTAGATGAACATCTACAATCGCTTAGTTTTTGGAGTTAACCCAATTCACAGCAGATCAACATCAGCCAAGACAAAAAGGAATAACCCTCGGTGATATAAAATTTGATACAGTGGTAGCTTAAAGTAATTCACAACACACACTTCAAGCGCTAACAGGAACTTCAGTTTTTCATGTGATTGTGCGTAATGTTATTTTTAAGACTTAACCAAAATGGTTGTGGTTGGACTGAGGATGCAGGGGACAGAGTGAGACGGAAGAGGAGGATGACTCGTTGTGGCGACGAGGGAGGCGGGAAAGCCGATAGAAGAAGAAGAACCAAAATGGTTGTAACTCCTTTATTTCTGAACACAGAATAGATTTAGGTCTAAAACGCTGCATGAAAGGCAGCAGGCGATAAACATTCTTTCAAGGAATGCTTGTCTTTTAATTCTATGATGCATAATGTGTAGTTGAAAACACAGAAAATAACAGACTGGTGTATTTGTACGCACTCAAAACGTGAATTCTCTACAATGTGAACCGTTTTCATTTACAAAGATTGTTTTCACATGAAATTTCAGCGTTCATCCCTTGTTAGCACAACCTTATATTACATATCATACCGGCCTACATACAATAAACTTGAACACTTGTATCTTTAGACTGTATCAGTTGTATCGATGAACGCTAAAATTCTTTTCTCCCCTCCTTTTGAGCGCAGGATCAGCGATTTTGTTTGGCATGTCTCACTTTTGCTCTTTTCAAGTTATCACACTAAGTGAATTTGGCTGCAGTAGCTGGCAACAAGTTTTTGGATTTCCAGACATCTTGCTGAAGGTGTCCACTCGCCAATGGCATGGCTCCATCATCGCAGCCTGTTTCTGCACACACAGACAGAGGAGAGAAAATCTTCCCGCACTGTGTCTCCTTGTCACTTTCAGCACTTTGGCACAGTACAACAAAGTCACCCCTCTCGCACATAAATGCCTCGACACACACACACTGTTAGAGGCTCGCTGTGTGTGTGTGTGTTCCCTCACAACTGAGTCTCAGAGGGCTCACGCTCTTGTCGTTTTCCATGGACGAGGACATGCAGGAGCACACACACACCGTCCGGATACACACTTCCTATTTCTGCTGGCATCCTGGGAGGCACATGCAAAGAAAAAGTGCACGAGCATATGTTGGATAGATGCTTGTTGGAGGAGGGAGAGGAGTATTTCTCTTTGGATGTTGTCTTACAAGCTCTGACGGCATGGAGCAGAAAGAAGGCATTTTTTCGTCCAATTTATTAATCCTTTTAGGCAATGTTCTCTGTTCAGAAATGCAAATTGAATCAATCTGAGGCTGACTTTAAGACTTTTCAAGTGGGATTTAATTAGAAACCAGGGCCTGCAGTTTTTAATGAGAGAGGGGGTGGAGAGATGGAGAAAGAGCGAAAGAGAGAGGAATGGGGAGGGAGAGTGGGTTGCGGTTTTGATCTGGGGTCCTGCTGGAGAAAGGATACACAAACACCCTAAACATAGACGCGCACCAACACACACACTCACACACAGGCACATACACACAAGTGCACCCTGTGGAGCAAAGTCTGAGG